AAAATCATCTTCAAAATTTACAGTTGTCCATTTGTTTTTAATTGTACTGCACGTATGGTGTATGAATCCGTGTTGAGTTTTCACCCTAGACATCCAGATTTTTGAAAAGAAAATCAAAATTGTAAAAAACGTTTCGAAAATGCTGGATATGTTTCATTATACCTCAGGAGCGAGGTAAGTTCTGAGATTTAAATGAATAGTTACCAATATCAGAGACCGCGAAAAAGAGAATACAAAATCCTGTTTACATATTAAAACAAACCATTTCGTTAACAACTGATATCCAAAGGACAGACAATTCCCAACGCTTTAGAAATATCCTCTACATTTTTGTACTGGGCTATTTGTTGCTGCTAAATTTGTGAGCTAAACATTTAAATTTTACAGTTTCTAGTCCCATCCCTCGCTTTCACAGTTTCTGTACAAACATCTTATCATTTTTACTTCCTGAACATAAGCTAGGGAATTATTGTAAGCGGGTCATTTTGACGAATGTCTAATTTCATGTTTTCTCGGCGTTTCACACTTGATACTTACGGATCTTGAGTGTTCCATCAAAAACAATTCCTGCATTTTCCTTGTCTCGCTGCGTGATGTATTAATTTTAAGAGAATCCACTTACAAAATGAACTTGTCCAATTTGAGTAATACATTAACAAATCAAAATTGCAATAAAGCGACAAAAACTTGACAAGATTTTTTCTTCAAAAAAATCATTATTTTGTAATTATATACGACATATTTACGTGTGTCAATTCTTATGTACCAGTTTTAAAACTGTTAACAAAAAAACATTTCAAGTTGTATAAAATAATAACCTAAAACTATTAAAATGCATCGAAATGAACAATGTTACGGCACCCTAAATTGTCGCCGCTATTCTTTGACTTTTTGTTGATGAATAAATTTTACAATTTCGAATAATTTTAAAGTGAATGAGAATCCAACAGAGAGAATTGATCATCTTTCTCGTAATCAATTCTCTTGGTTGGCTTTTGACGTGTCTGAAATCTGAAACCACTGAAAACAGCTTATTCTCGTTAAAATCAGCCCTTTATGTTCTTAATAAAAACCCTGACATCGTCGCGTTCAATCCGGTCAATAATCTGCTCCTGTATTTTCTTAATTTAAAAAATGTGTTAAAACTTTAACGACAAGGTTTTAGGTTCGATGTTTTCTTTCAATTTCGTGGGTATTTCGTATTAAAAATGTAAGCACTGCTGCGTCGTTAATTGGGTCAAGAACGATTCATTCAAATAAAGAATTCACCTAAAAATTAAGTGCCTTTTTGTGTGACAAGGGTTTAATTTAATAAATGGTGCAGCTTGAATTTCAGACCACCTCGAGTTAAAAAATAGTTAGTATCGACGAATCACTTAATTAGAAGTAGGTTTTCCTAGTGAAAGTCAACATCCGCGGGCACATATTTACCTTGAAAGGAAATATTGAAGATAAATCTGAAATATTAAACAGCTCTGTAAAGTCAATAAACCAGAACAAACAACATGCTGGATCACAGCCACATCCTACATCTTGGATACAGGATTCACGTATAATGAATATCCTTAAAATTACACAAAACGATATTTATAACAGAGTGATTAAATTTCATCGTTTCCTAACTAGGAAACACGAAATCTGTTGGTGCTTTAAATACCATCAAAGTGTCTGTTTTTTGGCCTAAAAAGGCTGGAATTTACAGATCACCAAGTTCTAAGTGATTCCGTAATGGAATCCAATTTATTCTATTTCTTTGACAAAGTGGTTGATGGCAATCGAAAAAATCTGTTCAAAGCCGGGCCCATCTTTGTTTGACTGATCACATCCGATTAAATCAAGTTTCAGGATTAAACGCATTAATTGGAGTCGTCATCAGAGAAGGGCTTTTTATAAAATCAGACAAGCATTGATAAGTTGATTGAAAAAAATCACAGATAAAAAAATTAAGGCAAATATCTAGGGGATGGCGTTTTAGTAAGTAATGAGTAATGACTAATGAACTAGTGAAAATTGAGGAATAATAGTTTTGAGCACTCGATTGTTAGAATTTTTTCTTATACTTCTTTCAGTTTCATTTGTTACTAACGTGTGTTACATCAGAGACGGATTTAAATATATTTTTCGTAATACCTACAAATATCTTTCTAGGTACGAGGCTCGTCGAAAAAAAAACAGTCAAGTTAACCCAATTACGTCATTTTATGAGAAAAGCGGAAAAGTGACAAAATAATCCGGATTTTTTAACGTATTATAATAGAGAGACTTACAGACGGAAACGGGAGACCTATTTCTTCGTATTCTAAGGGTACTGAAAGATCGAGAAAACACAAAAGTAGAGATTCGACCGACGGACCCGATTACAATAGAAAAAATAGATACCTATCACAGTCTAAACAAAGAAGTGGCAATGAGTATATCGAACAGGCGACCTCAGGATTATTAGTACAACTCGCTCGTCAATACCTATTAAGCCGTTGTTTCACTTGCTCTTATACTGGTAGAAAATATTACTTTATAATTTGTGTGAATCTTGTTTGAGTTAAAATCTGAATATCTAGTGTAAAAAATTCGAGGCGGATTCATAAATCACAAGTACAAGAGTATTTTATTTTATCAAATTTCAGTGGCATTTCAATGTAAAATGTTGAAGTGCCGTCATCAAATTGTTGGTGGAGATGATTAGACAGATTTTGGTTAGCGTTTTACCATCTATAGAATATTCCTGATATACAAACATTAAACATATGTACATATAAAATTTGACAGTAATCGGTGTGGTAGTATCGGAGATTGTCAGTCGGTCGCGTGTCGTTAGGCAAACTACACACGACAGACAGCTGGAAACGGAAGACCGATTTTTTGTATTCTAGAAGTCATGAAACGTCGATAAAACATGAAAGTCGGGAAGTAAAAAATATCTAAAACTACGTTAAATGTCGATAAAAATACGCAGAAGCATTGTGCTATTACGGTCGACGTATCCAACAACTCACCAGACAATATCACATCTGAACTTGAAGATGTACAATGTTATACCTAGGGAGATCCTATTCCTCAACTAGACAGGAGATTTTTCTACAGTTGTTGATTAACGTTTATTATGAGTAAAAAGTACAGGAAACTTCAAATAAAATTTGGAAAAGAGCAATTGAAATCGGATGCTATATTTTGTATTTTGTACAGAACGAGCTAAAAAAATTAGTGATTTTAAATATGCTTCTGCAACAAGTTCTATTCATCTAAAATAGTATTTGACATTTTGAATGTTTTTATCACTAGCACTATAATTTCACTACGTATTACTTAATTTTCAGGTAACTAGTTTCTCTGTAAAAGTCACGTGAGTTTGAAACATTTGAAACATACGCGTAGATCACGCTTCTTTACATTTACTTTAACATTACATTTATATGTTTATTTCAGCTTAGAGGGGTTCTCATAAAATAATAAAATTCGTAGAATCAAATTTTATAATTTTTCGAAAATTCTGGATATGTTTCATTACTTCAGGGACGAGGGAAGTTCTGTCGAAACAGTTAGTAATACTAATTTCTTGATACCGAGTTTATGTAGTACATAATAGCTTAGATAATACTGTTGAATATTATTTTCTTGATTGAAATGACAAAGTAATTAAAACATCTTTTGGTCAAAAACAATTTTTGTAATAAATATTTTTTAAAATAAAAGTAAAATGAAAGCCACTCCAAATCTTCCACCAGACTGTGTACATATCACTTTTACTTCCTTGTTGAAAGCTAAAGAAATATTATGACAGGGTATATTTGACGACCAGCTAATTTTATGCTTTCTCTACATTTATTTTATACAAAAAATTAGGTCTTCCGTTTCCGTCTTTCTGTATCCTGTTGTTAGCGATTTTATTAGACAGATAATTTCCGAAACAACTGATTGCTGTGAAACTTTAAATACATTTTAAGAGTATTTGCTACGCAAAATTGAAAGTGTACAAAATAAGAAACTTCTATTCATGCGTTTATTACTCCATTCCTGTTTTAAACCGTATGCATGCATACATTTTTACATTAATATATATAGCTTTACCTACAGTCGTGAGCAAAAAATTGTGATCGTCAGGATCAGAGTCTACGATTTAATTCTATTTAAAAAAATGACATTGATGACCAAAATTTTTTGCTCGCGATAGTATCATAAAAAATAAACTTCGTAGCATCAACTTTTAGGGTTTATTTAAGAAACTGGCCCTGTTCTTTTCTGTTTCAAAAGTGAGAGAAGTTTTGGGTATTTTTTTTTAATAATCCACAAGAAACGTACGTTTGGCGTCAAAAAAACAGGAATTGAAAATTTAACTTGGTAATTTATATCAATTCTTGTCTATTTATATAGTATCTGCTAAAAAGTAGGTGACATTTCACATAAGTGGCAGTTTTTTAACTTCAATTCTAAAAACCTTTTCAAACTATGAAAAATTAATAAAGTCTGACAGAACTTTTTCGGACATTTCCCCTTTTTTTAGGCCAACTGTATCATGTTCCATATGTCAACATTCGCACATTTTGTAGATTAGCCCCACTGACACATATTCATTTAAAAGAAATTATAGGAACTAAATTTAAAGCTTGATTTTCAAACATGTTAAATGTAAAAATAAAGAACAAATACTCACTTTCATCGAAGTAGGTACTGGCAAAGTTTATTTGCTGTTATAACAATAATTATAATAATAATGTAGCTAGCACCGTACAACAGAAAAAATAAGAAAAATGGGGCATGCAACATGTTCAGTATTTATAATTTTCTTTCTCCTTTTGTGCGTACATCACCACAATGAAAAATGGAACAAGCTCAACACGCTTTAAATGTTTTAGAAGATTATCCACCTGTTCCTGCGAATTTACAGTGATTTACTCCCACTTTCTTGGAGCGCTTTTTGCTCTCAACAAAGTGGCATTTTGGTTCAGCTAATCTAAACCTCACCAGGTCAGCAAATTCACCTGCTTTTTACTTTGTCCTTTCAGGTATGTATTACGGGGTGAGCATCTGTCTAGTTTCCTTCGCGTCAGGTCTATCCGTGGTGACTCTGAACATATATCACCGTGGAGTTCGAGGTTCGGCTGTCCCAAAAATCATACGTACGGTCGTTTTGGATAAATTGGCCCCACTTGTCTTTATGCGCTTCGAAACCAACAACCGACATCGAAATTCACAAATACAGGTAAGAAAAAAGATTGCTCGCTGTAGTGGAAACATTGAATGTGTGTGCCTGAATATGAAAATTGAAACTGTAAGGTGGAAGCAGTGGCGTAACGTGTTTTAAAGTTTCAATGAGAGGTAGTTGTTGTTTTTATTACTTTCATGTTATTAAAGGAGACAAATTCTTGAGAAACTTAAAAATTATGTTGGAAATTATTTCAATAGCTCAAGCAACGACAGCCAAGTAAGTAAGTTAAATTCTTTTTAATTTTCTCCGAAATCACAGAAAATCTGAACATATTTAATATATTCTATGCATAACACTACTTCAGAAAATTACAACACTATACCACTTTTAAATCACTCTTAGCATGTAGTCGTGTCGGGTGTTCCCGCTAGTATTAATTAAATAAAAATAAACAAATATTTACCTTAAGTTTATGCACGTTAGAGAAATGTACAGATTATAATATTTAGATGTAAATAACAATAAACGGGAAGTGCGAACAGGTTATAAGGGGATTAAACTTTCAAGGAGCTCACTTAATAGTAGTAAGCATTCATTATAGATGTTGATTCCACGCTATTCGAAAAGACCTCACTTTGAAAGCTTTGTAGAGATTTCAGAAATATGGATTTCTCAAGTTAATTTAATCTCAAGGGTTGTTTCTCAAAATTTCACTGCTTATTGAAAATTTACAGCACGAGTGGGAACAATGTTAGTTGTTGTAGTTTTGTTTAATTGCGATTTGTTGAGTACAAACTAGTTCAAAGCCCATGATAGTGATTTCTTCCAGTGAAAAAATTAAGTACTAAAAATTGTTCTTAGTAATACAAAAAGTGGTATTATCTGCAAAAAGTATTGTAATCCATATTAACGATGTCATCATTTTCTAATTTCTTTATTAGAATTTTGCTGAGTTCCGTAACCCTTTGTAATAGCATTTCCAAGAACTTCAAAGCATGCATAATCGATGTACCTCGTCTGAAATGAAATCGGTTGTTAATTAAAATGTACATTTCTGCATAATCTGTAAGTCATTTGAACAGAACCTTTTGCATTTGCATTATCGTTTTGAGTACATATAGGTATAACATTCAAGATTTGTCTCCCTGTGTGTTTCTCGTTCATTGTTATTCTCTGTAACTCTCCCGTACCCTGTTTTGCTACACTATCTCTGTTGTTTTTCTCACATATATATTTCCTTCTGTTATTGATTTCTTCTCTCGTTGCAATGATCTAAGTTTTTTTTTCTAGTGTTTTTTCTTGATCCTTACTGCTTAGTCGCATATGTTTGTTCTTATTATTCTTATCTTGTCTGGTCGTAATCCCTTTCTATTTACTCTGTCTTATCCCATTTAAATGTAGCACCTACTCTAGTACTTTTACTGAACTTTTTTATCTTCACAAATCATCACATTCTTAATCAAACTGTTATAAAAAAATACCATCTTCATTCGTTTTTTATTTTCTCAAACTCTCTTATTTGTGCACTCTCACTCGAAAGTTTACCCTAAATGTGTATGATGTTTTATTAATTACTCCTCGCGTATTATTTTTTTTTGCTCGCATCCATTCCCTTACTTTATTTCATCCTCTTCTTTTTCTAAAAACCATTAACTTTATTTGTACACCAAACGTGTTAAGTGATGTTACGTATGGCGTAGACTTTCAATGAATCATTATAGCTATCGGATTTTATCTATTTGTCTCTTACCCTTATTATTTATCGCCTTAAGACAATACGGAATTTAGTTATAAGAAAAAGACTTTTCGCCATCAACGCAATGTGAAAAAATCTTTAAAAATATTCTATCAGAAAAATAAACCAAATTAAAAATTATCATAGATATAATGTTGTTTTATTAATTTTGAAGAGATTATGTATAGAAAAACACTCTTTGTACCCAAAATAATAAGAAATAATAACTTTGAAAAGACTGATTTTATTTAAATACTGAACTATGCTTAAAACGAATAACACACCCAAAACCTCCACGAACACGATTACACATGCATCTCCGGTTAACCAAAATAAAGCCTACAAAAATAATGCACTGATATTTAAACATTATATTCGACGTTGTATCATCGGTATACAAAATTACGTCGGCTTGGTTTAAAAGATTAGGGAGATCTCTTATGTAAAGGAGAAAATAACCGTCCCAAGATTGATCCTTATGAATATTGTGGTACACAACATTCAGTTTGATATTTTACCACGCTGACTTCGGTAACAAAGAATAGATTATAGAGCTTTTCAACAGTAGGCTGAAAATTATAGTAATATAGAATATTAAGATTAGAATATTATGGAAATGGTATATTATTAGCCAAGGTTGCAAAGCCCAGCATTCTAGACCGAGCGCAAATTAGAACCCGAGACGCGCAGCATCGAGGGCTCTGAAGCGCGAGGTCTAGAAGTGGCTTTACAACCGTGGTTAATATACTATTTTTTTCACTAGTAGAAACTATAAGACAATAAATTGAAAAAATAAACGTTCAATTTTTTGACGCAACATGATTTTGTTTTGATTTCTAATCAAACTTAATCTAAATCTTCAACTCAAAGAAAACCGTTTACACTTGTCGCTGAATTAATCATTTTATCTTCTACCGTCTACCAACTACCATGCGTATACTCAAGTAATGTTAGTAGCACACATTTATTCATTTTTTAAGAAATAATCACATCAAGTATTGCGTACATAACCTCAATCTTCTTTTTGAACCCATGGTCGCAAAAATTGAATTTGCTACCTTTAAATGAGTCGACATTTGTATGCGTCATGGCTCCTAGTGAAAAAACAATCAAATGCTTTATAGAATTCCAAAAAGGATGTGTGATGAAACTTTTTTGGTTTCCAGAGATTGAACAACATTATTGATAAGTCTAAAATGGCTGGTATAAAAAAGCGAACTTTGCTAAATCCGTATTGGTACTACGATAAAATTTGATTTACTTGTAAAAATTTTGATTTGACTAATATCTTAGATAAAACATGTACAAGGTAAATAGGCCGATAATAATTATTTAAGTTATTCCTATCTATGATTTTTATGTAGAGGTTCAGCTGATGTCACCTTCAAACAAGAAAGTTGCTAATAAAACCGAAAATAAAGTGGCAGTACTATTACTGTCAGTATTACACTACATCAATTTAAATTAATATATGTGTCCTTGTTAAAATGTGTCCTTGAGAAAATTTTGTTATGAGGAAAACTCACTTGAGATATACGCATAGCATGTTTCTTTACCTGCACTTTGAAAGTCCATACATATATATTTTTTTTAACTTATAGGGATTATTAAAAAAAATAAAATTCGCAAAATTTAATTTTAATTTTTTCAAAGAATCTGTATTTCTTCGCCTCTACGGCAGGGGAGGAGAAAATTATCTCTAAATAACATAAGATCAATTTTTGTATTCTTATATTTTGATACTTCGCACCCTTTTTATTGCATAGCTAGACGCGATGTCTTCATGTAGACATCAATAGTGTCCCTGAGGACGCAATAGATAAATTGCAAAACGTCGATTAAATGATCGACTTTAAACTCACTTGCCTTGTGGTGTAATTATTCCTAACAAATTAGTATCTTATGTAGTAACTATAAATAAAAATACAACCTCTTGTTTAAACTTCTCGCTATGCAGACTAACTGCAAAAAATATTTCTCAATTTTCATTATTCTTTTTTTTTAATTATGGTTTTGACGTCGTAGGACGAAGTAGTCGATTTGACTATTTCATTTTAGGGCTATTTTATGTATGGAAAATGTATCTATTTATAATGTTTAATTTAATATTAGTTCAAGAAAGATAATTAAAAGTTTGGTTATGTAACATGTTTTATATGCCAACGAAAACATCTACATCAATTTATTATTTGCCTTACAGGCTTAATAATATCCCAGTAGGGGTACAAATTAACTTAATCTACATCAGATAAATCAATAAAAATAAAAATAAAAAATAAAAATAAATAAAATAAAATAAATATTCGAGTTTTATATAATAATTGCTATAGTTAGTTCCCTTATCTTCCATACTTCTTTCATCCAGTCCAGTCCTCTTCCATCCTCGTTTAGCACTTCTTCTCTACTTTCCTCCGATTCTCTCAATCCTTCACATCCTTCCAGCATATGCTCTATTGTCTCTCCCTCTCTCCAACATATCCTACACCGTCTTTCAGTTTCATGCATCCAAAAATTATTGTCTTTCTCTTCATTTCCACACCTAAATCTCGCCATCATTCTTTTCTCCTTTATACTCTCTCTGTGTGTGTACTTTGGTACTTCATCTTTTACAATTTTTCTATACTCTGCATAATATCTAGACTCCGATATTCTCGATCTGCGTTCCTGCTTATCTATATTCTTATATCTTACACTCAGTTCTACTTTCATACTCCTTCCCATTTCTCTCATTCTCTCTATTTCTTCACATGCATATCCTTTTCCTTCATAATACTTGTCTCTTTCGTTCCAAACATGTTTTCTCCCTTCCTTTCTTATTTCTTCCCAACATTCTTGCAATATTTTGCAATCACCTCTCTCACTGAACTTCTTTTCAAATCCAACCGCCCTTTTACCCGCTTTCACTCTCATTTTCTCCCTTTTTGTTTCTTCTCTCACTATATACCCCGGCGTATACTTTTCCAAGCCCAATGTCCATTTCAAGTATTTTTCTTGCACTCTCTCTATTTCTTCATATTCCCTCCATCCACAAATCTCAGCTCCGTGCATAAATACACTTTTGAACAAACTATCAAACATCATCATTCTTCTCTTATAATCATGTCCAAATTTTCTCTCTCCTATTCCCCATACTATTCCTATCACTTTGTTCGCTTTTTGGACCATTTCTTGAATATGCGCGCTATCTAAGTTATTACTCTTTAATGTATATCCTAAGTACTGGAATTCTTTCACTTGTTCAATGTTCTTCCCTCTCCATGCCTACTCTTCCTTCTCCTTTCTTACTTTCTTCCCAAACACTACCATTTTTGTTTTTTCC